GTGGCATCAGCGGGGCCGCGGTCCCAGGCAGAGCGGCAGAGAACCCCCCTACCCCCCACCCCCACCCCCCACCCCGCTGGCCCCCGCCCGGGGCCGGTGCAGGTGTTGGCGGGTCTGGAGACTGTTTACAAATCGTTAATGAAGCGACTGTGCCTCTTTTCAGTGGCTCGCACTTTGAACTGCGCGGGTGACCCATTGCTCAATGACACGCAGCAGAGCGAAGCCCACAGCAGCCTCATTATGGGGCCGCACCCACACCGGCCGCCGCTGTCTATGAGGCCAGCCCGCGGAGGAGGCCCGGGAAGGCCGGGCCGCGGGCACTGGGAGCGTCGTGGCCCAGTTGCTAGGCACACGCGGCTGGCCTGGGAAATGTCCCCTCCCGCACCCGCGTTTTCTTCCTGGGCCATGAAAGGCCCTTTCAAAGCCCGGCGCTCGGAGCCACACAAGGAGTGAAGCCACCGCGTTCTCTGAATGAAAGAACCGTCTCTTGTTAATTCCTCTACGGTTTGTGTCAATTCTCAGCGCAGCGCCATTAGGATTCCGCGGGAAAGGCTCATGCATTAGGCGACACTGGGTCCCCTTTGTGCTCTCGACTCCGACTCTCTCCTGCCTCCGATAGAGAGTTTCAAAGCTTAAACAAAGTGGGGGCTCCTGCTGGGGACGCAAGCTGCACCGGCCACTGAGGCCACCTTTGTGCTGAGGGGCCTCATTTGAATAAGCAGCATGTTGTCACTGGTGAGGGCAGATGGCTCCTGAGCTCCAAGGCGGCCGAAAGAGGGAGGAACAGAGCAGTTGATTCATCCCGTGCTTTCAGGGCGCCGAGACCTCTCTTGGACGGCCCAACTCCCCGGGGACAGGCTCGCACAGCCCAGGGGAGACGCGGGCCGCTGGTGACGCGGCGCTGCGTGGGAGAAGACATTCGGGCGCCGTGTCCCCAGACGTGGCCGCTCTCCCCACGCGCGCCCTGGGCTTCTGGTGCGGCCGACGCAGGAAGGCACGTCGTCGGGCACTCCGGGGAAATCACGGGGATGCGGGGGGACGGGGGCCCGGCCTGCGCCCCCCCCTTGTGTGTTCAGCTGTGCAGGACTCCAGCCCGGCACCGTGGGCTGAACGAATGTCGGGGAGATTTAGGACGGCACGTCAGTTGTCCCCCTCGAAAGCCTTATTTCAAGTCGTGTTATGTCCTCTCTTGCAGGCCGGCAGATACTTTTCTTTCCGAGGTCAGGAAGGTTTGCATCTTTGCCCTTGAGTCAAGAGATTGCAGGTGTCCCCGGGAGCTCCCCTGATTTGGAGAGAAAGTCTGCACGCTGGGAGAATTCTGAATTTACAGGACGCTGTCCGCATGGCCGGGGGGCCTGCAGGGAGGGTCTCTGCGGTCTCTCGGCTCGGGGCCTGCCCCCTGCCCGGCCCGCCTCTTTGACGGACCCGCACCTCTGCAGCCGGAAAGAGGGCAGCTCGTGAATCACCCCATATGTTGTATTTTTGGGGTGTATTCAAGTAGTTTAACGTAAGGGCTTCTGGGAAGCAAAAGTATTAACTAAATCATTGTGAGATGAATGTCCGCACAAAGTTTTCCTGGCAAATTCTTAGAGACTAATTTACATTCCTTTCAACACAGAAAAAGGATCTCTTTGAGCTCCAATTTTTAAAGACTTTACTTTCGGGGTTTGGACAAGAAGGAGGGGTTCGTTTTAGAAAGTGCATTGATCATTCAGGAACATTCTCAGAACTGTCTTCATCAAGAAAGAAGGAAAAATTCAAGGAAAAAAAAAACAATTACAAGGCTCTGAACCTGCTTTATAATTATGCAGACAATGCATGACTTTTATACTTGGGAAGACATCTTCTCTAACGAGTTCAAATTTATTTTGCAAATAAGTATGAAAGTAACCTTAACAGAAAGTCTGGGTAATCAGGAAAAATACGCCCCAAAGACAGCATTCTGCGTTCCAGTAAAACGGTTACGTATACAGTTTATTCCTGTAGACCAAGACGTGTTTAAGTAAAATGCTACTTAGACAGAATTCCTTTTTGAAATGTGGCCCTTCTGGTTCGAACGCTTACCTGTCCATCTCTATTTATTGCTACCGTGCGTGTGTGGTATTGAGATCCCGCGTTACGTTTTCTTTCGTTGACTAAACGCAGTGCTGGGAGAAGCTCGAGGGCACAGGAAAAGAGGCTCCCTTGGCTTGCATTTTAGGAGAGGGCGTAAATCCCTTGTAATGTATTACTTGAATCAAACACTTGACATCATTTAACGCGGGCCACGTTCTCCCAGCTTGTAAGTTAATACCTGGGTGTAAGGTCAGGTCTGTGCACACTTTGTAAAACAGACCACAGAACAGCAAACAGAGTCCAAAGTGTTCCCTGCTGTCAGTCTTGGCAATGAATACGGATGGCTCAGCCACGTCAGTCAGCCCCCGGCCTCATCAATCAGGCGGCGGAGGGAGCCCATCACGGCTTTGGCACGGGCCCGCCGCCTTCCCAAGGGTGCAGGAGGGCCTTGGGACAAGGATGGAGGGGACGGTTCTTCTGAGTTGTGCTCATCCTGGACCAGATCATAAAGACCAGAGACCCGGATAAATTCGCAGTTCCCCGAAGGCTTTGCTCACGGGTGGGTGGGTTGGGATTCAGCCTCAGTCAACTATTGACTGACACAAAAACTGTAAATGCCAATCTGTATTATTTCATATAGGGTAAGATCTGGATTGAGGGTTTTATTACAGCCACCATGGCGGACATGCTCTTTCTTTTTCTTTCACGCAACAAATAATTCTGAATATATCAAATGTATACTAAGTTGAATTAGTACCAAATAGAATGGGAGCGTGTGGATGTGAACGAACGGACTAATAAAAAAAGAGGATAGAGGCACCTGGGGGTTCAGTCGGTTAAGCGTCCAGCTCTTCATTTCTGCTCAGGTCACGATTGCATGGTTTTGAGATAGAGCCCTGCCTCTGGCTCTGCATGGAGCCTGCTTGGAGTTCTCTCTCTCCTTCTCTCTGTGCTCCTCCCTCACTCCCTCACTTTCACTCTCTCTGTCTATCTCTGAAAAAAAAAAAAAAAAAAAAGAACGAAAGAAAAGAAAAAAAAAGAATAAATGCAAGAAGATGGAGACAACATGAAAACATTACTGGAAATGGGAATCCAAGGTGAGTGGTATTTTAGTCCCTATTGATGGGCTGGCCACCCCCACAGGGACAGGAATCCAAGCAGGGCAGACTTGCCACAGCTCCATGATGTCTGGGGCCCGAGCTGGGAGGACCCAAAAACCTCAGGGTGACTTGAAGCCCGGAGGTCTGAAGCTGACTCTGTACCTGACCTTGCCCAGTGGTTGGGACTTCCTCCCAACATGGAGACCTTGGACTTCTCACCCTCAGGGCTCCATCACTGAGGTTGTTATTTTTTTCCTAACAGGGCTCAAGTTGCATCCTCTTTTTTGACTGAAGCTTAGAGATCATGCAGCATCATTTTCCCAGTTAGAAGTAATGCCTGAGTTCGGATTTCAGGGCACCAGAATTAGAGCTCCCCCAGTAGTGGGGGGGGGGGTGTATCATGGCCAAGTTCTAGAAGCCTGGTAGGTGCAGGCGATCAAGGCACCAGGCCCCGCTGAAGGCAGAGCGCAGAGGGTCTTGAAAAGTGGACCCATTTTTTTTTAGTTTATTTATTTATCTTGACATGAAGCCCTAGTGGGGGAGGGGCAGAGAGAGAGGGAGAGAGAGCATCCCAAGCAGGCTGCATGCTGTCAACTTGGAGCCTGGCACAGGTCTCAAACTTACAAACCGTGAGATCACGACCTGAGCGACACGCAAGTCAGATGCTCAACCAACCGAGTCCCCCGGGTGCCCCAAAGGCAAACCCACCTTTATCAGAAGTATCAGCACCCCCAGACTCCTGTCTACGCATGTACATCAGGGACCAGCCTTCTCCACCCAGGCGGCACAGAGGAGGGCGCTCCCTGGGGTCATTGACTGGGATGGCACCGGTCATGATTCTAGAGGCAACAGGAGGTCAGAACTGTACCCAAGAGCTGATTCAGCAGGAGTCTGCAACCCAGACCACGGGGATCCATGGACTCCTGTTCATCCACTGCCGACTGATCAGCTTTCCTTTCCCAAGAGACACTGACGATTTCTATCTGAGGAAATGAGTCGGGGTAGGAGAAAAGACACATAGGTGTTGACATCTGGATAGTCCTGGTGGAGCACATCCATCCATCCTCCACCACCTCAAAACAGAACCACAAGGCCATGGACTCTCCTCCATCCAGAGCCTGGAAAGACTCTCTCACGTGCCTCTCAACGGTGCATGGAGACCCAGGAGGCACCAGACATTCGAAGGAAGCCGGAGACCAGAACAGACAGGATGAGAAGAGCACGAGGTGAACGAGGCCAAGGCAGGGAGGAGGAAACGGCCCCAGGGAGACTCGCATCCACTGACCAAGAACCAGAAGCTGGGAAAGTAAACATTTAAGAAACAAGAGAATACTCTGGGAAATTAATATATGTAATGTACAAATATGTGTATCTGTGAATTATATATAATCTACAAATATGTGTATGTTTATGTATAACGTATGAATTATACATATGTATGTGGAATTTTTTTCAGAGGATGAGAAAACAAAATTGACAAACTCATATGTTAGAGCAAGAAGACTAAGAGGTAGAAAATGGGGGCAAAAAGGATGAGAAAACTGAGGATCAGTCCATGAGTTCCACTATCAGACTAATCAAAGACAAAACAGACAAATGGAGGATAAGAAATAAGAAAATCGAAGAAATCACAGAATGGTTCCAGATTCCACATGGAGACCGTGGATCACCCAGTATAAAGAATGACAAATAAAAAAAATTAAAAAAAAAGAATGATAAATAAATAAATAAATAAATAAATAAATAAATAAATAAAATGTAAACCCCTCCAGAGACACCCATTGTTATGGCATCTCAGAACTCTGAGAACAAAGAGAAGATTCTAGAGCATTCCAGGTGTGGAAGTCACGATCAGCAATGATCTTGGCAGGCTAAGAACGAGCCTGAGCAAGTGTCTGAGTAAAGTCCTTTCTTATCTACAATTCCAGCTCCACTAGACAAGGAGGATGAAGGGAAATTAAAGACACCTTCAGGTATTTAAGCGTAATCTACAGTAATCTCAGTAATCTACATTTACTGAGACGCCCTCCTACAAAAGGTACCTGGAGTACTTGCTCTACAAGAACAAGTATGTGAATCAACAAAATGGAAAACCACGTTTCAGGAAATGGGACCCAATGTGGGAGGGAGGCAGAGACCACCCCAGAATCCCAGGATGGCACATGGAATGCGTCCAGGGAACAAACATTCCAGGTTGGAGCAAAGAAATGGAGGGCCCCAGGGTCACGAAGGAGAAGTAGGATAATTTTTTAATGTGTTTTGAGAGGAGTTTGACAAATCTTAACAAAGTGGCACATATATGTATACATGCATACACATTTTCCCCACTTAAGATTGTTCATTTGTTTCCTTACTGAACCCAGAATAAAAGAGAACCAGAGTCCAGAGGAGCAATTTACAATCTGCTTCCTGAAATCAGCTGAAAACTCCTGACGGGAGTTCAGTTCGGCCACTCCTAAATCTGGTTATATAAATTATTCAATGTGTCCTACTCCCTCCATTCACCACCTTTCAGGTAATTTTACCTGGAATTTTATTTTCAGAGAGTCTGAGCAACACTTGCTGAGCACAGACCCTAAGTCTACATATCGGTTCCTCTCTCATACAGATAAGACACGGAACCCAAAGAATTCAAGGAGGGTGTGCCCGTGTTCACACAGTTCCTAAGCGGCAAGACGGGAATTTGAATAGAACCCGCCTGACAAAAGTCTGAATTAACGCTCTTCTCCAAAATGCCTAAATGGATGTGGTGTAGACATGTGCAGAGACAGGATGTTAGAATAAAGCCTAGAAGAACAGAGGTAGTGTCTGGTCTTCCGGTCAGTTTGAGTGGCTGAGACATCCTTATTTTTTTAAGACACATTACGATGCTTACGTGTAGTGTTATCATTTCATTATCATGACTCATGGAGATGAGAGGGAAGTAGATGCATTTCATTAGCTTTAAAGTGCCAAAAATGCAGAGATATGAGAGGGAGAGAGAGATCCACACACAGAGAGAAAGAAGGAGATCCAGGCGTCGAAGCCAGTTTTCTTATTCTTACTCTATTCCAGATTTCTTTCCTTTGAGTCGTTTCACTTAAATTTAACTTCGGCTGAGTTTAGAAAAAGGCAATGACCCAATATGCATCCAAACCATTGAGGAGTTGTAATTGTTAGAAGCAAATGTCATTCACACGGCGAAAGGGCTTCATGGGCTCTCCCTTCCTCCGCTTGTGGCCCTACGCCGTTTTCAACCCAAGTTTGTCAAAAGACCATGAATTTTGGTCGTTTTTAGGATGGTGATTGTTTTTAGGAATTGTGGGGTTTCCTACAATTTCAAGACTTCTCAGTGTAGTTTAAAAATAATATACATTATTTCTCCATAAGAGAAAACAAGAATAGAAGAAAGTGAAAGGCTGTCCTCCATGGGTTCTGTCACTTCCCCGTGCGATCAGCCCTCCGCCAGTCAACTCGGGTCGGCCATGCACAGCCCATCCCCAACCCCACAGCTCTTCCCCAACCTCTGGGAACCTCTGCCCCCCAACTGTGAGCACAGGGGAGGGAGTCCAGGCGGGTACTCACCTTTGACTCTGGGCTTCCCTCCCGCAGGAGACCCAACCAGCTCTCACTGGAATCCTGAGAGCTCGTGGGGCCAACAGCCATCCTGTGGCCCCCTGGGGGCTGAGGAAGGGCCACCATCACGAAGGCAGAGCTGGAAATGAAGATGTGCGTGACCCTCACCTGTGTGGAACCAGGGGTAGGCTGGACTCACAGTTGGAGAGCTCTTAAATTCACGCCCCTTTCCCTCTCCAACCAGACTGAGTGGGCAACGTCTTAGCAACTAAAAAACCATTACAACTGCTCAGCACACAGACAAGGAAAATGCCCGTATGATGGAATCAGAAGCAGTGAAAGCTGAATTTAGGTTTTTGGTCCATCTGCACTCTTACAGAGGAGCAGAGGCCTAAAGCTTTCTGAGAGTCTTCCAGAAAACTGAGCAGAGGTGAGTGCAGCCTCAGCCTGTGGTGCTACATCATCCCATCTCTGAATAAAAGGAACCCTTTCCCGTGGCTCCTGTCTCCTTCTGATACAACTCGGTCCGCCTTTCGAGCTTCCTTGTGTTCCTGTACAAAACATGCCCCTGCCTCATCTCGTGAACCAGTTTCCAAGGATCCGTGCCGACTGTCCTGGGGCAGGATTGCCAGATCAAGTTCTGTTCCGTGCCTCTGCTCACAGCTGCCTGTTTGGTATAATGTGAGGACTTTTCCAGAGAACCAGAAGACAGGTACTTCTTCAGGTAAAGAACAGGAATTCATAAGAATGTTGCCAATTCAAATGTTGTATCACAGGACTTAACGTTTGGTCTCATACTTCTATTTCTTCTCTTTACTAAACATTTAATTTCCATAGCACTGATAATATTACCTATCTGTTTTATTTCGCAGCACGCACAATGCGCGCGCGCGCACACACACACACACACACACACCCCCCAGTATGGTTATATAACCAACCTGTCATACAGTGAGAGTCATTAATTCCTTTTGTATCTCATTCTAAAATACTTGGAATATTACATTTTAAGAGATGGGTATTGTCTCATTCTTAGTGGGATGCCTTTGATTTCCTTTAATTTAATAATATGTGTTAACGCTTCTTTACAGGGTTGTAAATTTGAGAAATTCATAAATTAATCTTATTAAACTGTCCAGATTTGTGTGTTTATGAAAGCATGTGGTTCACAGTGACAACCACTTACAGGGTCTTTCCAGAAAAAAATACTTAGTATTGTCAAGGAAACAAAATGACAATTATTGAAAAAGAATAGAAAAAAAATGATGCTGTATGAAATTTACAGTGCCAAGATGCTGTAATTGATCCTTCCCAGTACACTTTGGATAAGTGAATTATCCTCCTTAGATTAAAGAAAGAAGCCAGTAAAAGGCTGGGATTTTTGGATGACTCCGTAGGATTTCCATTCTTTGCCGTAAGTATGTCCACTTGCCCACTGACTGCCTTCCAGTGTCACTACGCTGTGGGGAGAGGTGTGTGTTCTGAACTCTTTTACTTAACCTGCCCCAACAGGATCAGTCTCCAAATCAGACTGACTCACCCCGTCCGGGGCTAGTCGCCGGTCCTGGGGTATCAGACCTTTGCGGAACATCCAAATACGCCAAGTACTATCACATGTGATCATAGGAACTCATTCCTTAGGGATAAACGTTTTTGTTCTGATTCTCTCTTGAGTGAGTGGAAAATGTCTCTCAAATATTTAGAGATTTCAAGATCCCTGATCTTCAGGTAACAGACAATTGGGATGTGTCCACTTCGGTGATGCACGATAGCTGATTCTTGTTTGGATTCTACCAATGTTTTTAATAAGCTTTATTCTGTGTGGATGCCGTCGTCCTCGACACATTGTTCTAACATTTGGGGCTTGGCAATTCCATCATGCATTTGGCCTGGAGCTTCCGAAATTAAAAATAAGGTGCGAACGAAGCTTCAGTATAATGGCTTCCTTCTGATATGTTCGGCCTGCTGTAAAATTAAGGGGCTAGCACTTTCTTCCTTCGTCCCGCATTGCCTCAAACTGTATCAGCTATTCCTGAGTGCCCTGTAACTGTATTTCCAACAAAAATTACACAGATATTTCTGTCCAGCTACATGTCCTGCAGGGCTGTTCTGTGGTCTTCCGATCAGTAAAAATGTAATAACATTTTCACATAGTCAATATTTAATTCTGTAAAGGCAACTGGTGGTTGTAATCTAGGTTATTAACCACTCGGTGATTTATGATAGAGGGCAGACAGTGCGGTGGGGGGGAGCAGTAGGAAGGTCCTCTGGTGACAATAAAAAGGTTATAAATTTCATAGCTCTGCCCAAGAAATGTATTTATATCCTATATTAAGAATAGCTTTTTATAAATTTTAATGATCCGTGTTATTAATGGAGTTGTCATCATGACTGCCTATACAAGACTGCAGTCCTTGTTTTTTTTTTTCTTTTACTTTTCCATCAGCTGAAGGTCTTGTGGGGAAAAAAAAGAAAGAGAGAGAGAGAGTGCTCTTATTAGCAATTTGCCAAAAAAATCTTTGGGAGTCATAAGCCTATCATTGTTTCCCTGGACTGCAAAGCCTGTGAGCGGTAGTTTGCATAAAGTTTTATGACCAAGGAGACGTTGGGCTAATTGGATGGAGTACAATCAGTGCTCTATCATGTTGACGAAGGCCGAGTCAAGATGCAGAAATAAAATCAGGGCCATACGAAAAAGAGAAACTTATGTGTGCAAATGGTCCTTCTCGTTGGCTTCCTGTCCCCTCGCTGAGACCTTGTTGGGTTTCCAGCCAAACACACGAAGACACGCGCACATGCTCAACACGTTCGCAAGGAAACACGCGTACCGCATCGTCCCCTCTCTTCCTCCCTGCCTGTCGCACGCATGCAGGATGGGAGGACTGAGTCCTGCTGGGCAGGACACAGCCTCCTGGGTGGGGGGGGGGGGGAGAGGTGTTTAGCTGGTGGGATTCGGCAGCTCTTCCTTAATTCAGACACCGTTGGTTAAAACCAGAGGTTTACAAAGAACTCTTAAAGAGTCAAAGCAGATTTTCGAACGTGGTGCCCAGACGCTTCCTACAGACAACGTAACAGAGCAGGAGAACGGGCCGTTTCCAGGTATCTGTTTTAGTGTCAATCCACCCCCGACTCTCCCACCAAAGATTATTCGGGCACAAGGAAGGCCACTGAGAGAGGAGATCTCACACAAACAGATGAGCAAGCAAAAAACTGACTTATGTGGAATTTGTGGTCATTGTTCTTTATATGAGATCCTACTTTATTTCATTATAACTGCACACCAGTGAAATATTCAGGGGACTCATTTATTAATGACTAATTATTAAGCCGTCAATTAGTTTCTTCACATAGACAACAGAAAAAGTTCTGGGAATCTTTCTCTTGTGCTTACTGTAAATCTTGAACAGAAAAGTTAATGCCTACGTGTTTTCAATAAGAAAGATGAGATTCGAGATATTAGGAAAGACAGCATTTGTTTTTCTAAGGTTTTCTCGGGGCAGCTTTAGGTTTAGACAGTGTTGTTTGTTTTGTTTTGTTTTGTTTTTTTCCTAACATCTTTGTCACTGAAAGAAAATCATCATATCACCAACATGAAAGCGATTAGAATTTGACCTGTATGTTTAATTCACTTTTCTCTTTCCCTCGTGGCTGATGTTAAATTTGAGATCAGGCATGGGAGGAGGTGTAGTTCAGACCTGCTTCCCTATTCCTCACTCCTGCCTCACCTGTATCAGCTGTCTCATAACCTTCCACCTAATGAAGGAGAATGTTCTACCTGTTCATCGAACTTTCTCTTAGAGTCTCCTGCTCACCAGGCATGCTGCTGGCCACCAGTGCTCAGCACCAACCGTCATGTGGTCCTTCCTTTCACCCGGGTTACCAGGAAGTCTGGGCTACTGGATGAGCATTCAGGCCAGCAACTGTTGTTCCTGCCCATGTGTCATCTGAGTTCACGCCCTCTTCTGTGAGTGTCCCCCAAGAATACCCACATTTAAAAGCCTGGGAGAGTAATTAAGAATTTCCTGGTGACATTATGAGGGTTGAGAGAGAGGAGGGTCCACTTACACTCCCAGAGCAATGACGGAAAGGGACACGGAGGTCTGCGAGCTCACCGGCTACGCTGAGGCTTTGGTGGGGTCCATCATGGTTGACTTTCTTCCGAGCGGGATTCAAGCGGACTTGTTCTAATTTTCCCTCCATAATCCTTGACCACCACACCATTCCCACTCTGCAAAATGTCTTTTCCTTTTCACTTAAGTCTGAATTCCATGAGTAGCCAAGACTTGTGTGTTGAACCTCCAGTCCAAATTCGTTTCACAGGCCATCCCACCTAACACACAAGTCACTGTCTATAAGGATGCCCTTGGAAGGCCTGTCTTGGCATGCCCCGAAAGAATGGAATTTCTGTAGTGCTGTTCACCATGACCTGTATATAGGGCAGCCTTTATAAGGAACCTCCTGCCCAACTGCCATCAGACTGATTCTCTGCTACCTTACCCATCGCATGCCCCGGGTGAACCGATCCCACAAGACTGCAAAGACCCCTTCACGGGGTCACCTTACTTCCTGGGCTGAACTAGCACGCCTATGGGATCACGTGCAACAGTTACTAACTTGAACTTGAAGCCGGAAAAATGGGTAGGGAAATCAAGAGTGCCAACTAGCTCAGAAATGCTATAGGTGTGGCTCACGTGGGGGTCTGCCTCATGAGGTATGTGAGGACGTTCCTTGGTCGATCTAGCTGTTGAGGAATAGGGGAAATCCTCTTTTCCTCACCTGGGAGGGGTAAAAGCTATTTAACTAGCTATGAGATTTGGGTTTCAGATCCTTTCCTCTCCCCCGGAATGATGAAGAGGATATATGATCTAAAACAGTTTAAGATTTAATTGAAATAGTCCATTATGCTGAAAAAGATACTACAATCACTTCTTTCAGCCATCATACACTGTCTGTGTTTAATTATTAAAGCCAATGTGGCAAAACGATAACCATATCTGTACATATAAACACGTCTGAGTAAAATATACCCTGTCACAATTATTGCTTTTCTTTATTAGCTATTGCCTTTGTTACACCGGGCTCAATTATTTCCCCTGAGTCAGTTAATAAGAGCTCCTGATTATCTGCTGGCAGGCAAAGACCAGATTTCTCTCACCAATACTCAATCCTCCGAGAGCATATTTTCCCAGCAAAAATCCAATCAAGATGCGTGCCTCCTATGCCTCTAATTTCACTTGGTCTAGAACCCTTGCCTAGTTCCTCCCCCGACCCCGACTTTCCAATGTCACAAACCAGCTGTGGAACACCTGTGTCCTGTCTTGTGTGTTTCCACAAGGTGCCATTTAACTTGTGACTCTATCCCCTTTATTCTCCATGATAAGCCAGTACCTACTTGCCAGCCACGTGCTTCACGTTGTACCACACTGGGCACGTAATCCTGGTGAGCAGCCATTGCCAACGATGCCAGTCTTGAAGGTTTTAACGGACTGATCTCGCCACTGCAAATCCATTTTTCTTTCA